AATAGAATAGAATAGAATAGAATAGAATAGAATAGAATAGAATAACAGAAAATAGAATAACAGAATAGAATAGAAGACAAGAGAAGAGAACAGAAGAGAACAGAACAGAACAAAACAGAACAGAACAGAACAACAGATTCTTTATTGGTCAAGTGTGATTGGAGACACAAGGAATTTGTCTTGATGCAAATGCTCTCAGCGTAGATAAAAGAAAAGATACATTTGTAATAAAGAATAAAGAAACCATTAGAGAGCATTGAGCCAGCGTTTTCCAAATACTTTTTCCACAGTCATGTGGCCAGCATGGCTATATGCCAAAGGCTCATCGAATATTATTACCTTCCCACTGAAGTGATAGCACTAGCGCTAGCACTAGCGCTAGCACTTAGACTTATATACCGCTTTGCAGTGCTCCACAGCCCTCTCTAAGCGGTTTATAGAGGCAGCCTGTTTCCCCCAACAATCTGGGTCCTCATTTTACCCACCTGGGAAGGATGGAAGGCCGAGTCAACCTTGAGCCTGGTGAGATTTGAACTGCCAAATTGCAGGCAGCTGGCAGTCAGCAGAAGTAACTTGCAGTACTGCATTCTAACCAATGGTGGGATTCAACCGGTGTAACAGTTGGTTCGGTGAGCAAACTGGTTGTTCGTGCGCACAGTGCGTTTGAAAACAGCTCGAAAACGTACTTTCTACTGCAGCCCCAGTAAGTAAAACAGCTGATTCGTGGCAATCTGGTTTGCCGTGCCTATCAGCTGGGCTTCAAACAAAGGAAATATAGGACAGACAAGTGCAGGGGCGGGTGGGCGGGGCCAACTGATTGCCGGAACTACCGGTTCACCTGAACCGGTCTGTACTGACTGAATCCCACCCCGATTCTAACCACTGTGCCACCGCAGCTGTTGCAGAGGAGGGAATGGAAAGGATGTATTTCTGCCTTTGCCCAGCGCACTCCCCTTTAACGACCCCTTCTCCTCAGCCCTTCCTACACGCGATACTGTCAGGACCGCTTCTCAGACGGACACTGCGACAGAGGCTGCCACTCGGCATCCTGTGGCTGGGATGGTGGGGACTGCGCCTCTTCTGTTCCACCAGCAGAATCCACGTTGGCGCTGGTGGTCCTGCTACCCCGGGAGAGCGTGCCGGAGCTCCTGCGTTCCCTGGTCATCGCCACGCGGGCAGAGCTAAGGATTCAACGGGATCGTCAGCACCGCGAGCGGATTTACCCTTACACAGGGAAGGAAGAGCTGGGGAGCCAGAGCAACTGGACAGGGATTCGGACAAAAGATTTGGCAGAGACCGTCGGGTAGGATGGGCTGTCTTATTTCTCATTGATATCTCTATCCCAGGGGTCTCCAACCTTGGCAACTTTAAGACTTGTGGACTTCAACTCCATTCTTTTAGAGAATAATTGAGGCCACCTAGAGGTTTATCTCTGTCATCCAGGTTGCCTCAATGACTCTCTAAAAGAATGCAAATGACCAGCTGTCTGCAAGGAATATGAATCCTTCCATTCCCCACCATCCAGTCAGAGCCGAAGAAGCTTCTTGGATGAGAAGTGAAACATCTTCAAAGAAAAAACAGAAAGTCCAGTTGCCTGTTTAAAAAAAGCATCTTTGAGACAACCATGACCTGGATGACTGAGAAGCTCCATAGACACTCACATGGATGGTCGATCAAATGACGTCCTTAGGTCCTAGCTAGATGCAATTATCATAAAATTCATTTATGAAACATTTATTTCAGGATTTCATCAGTAATGTATAAAGAGTAATGCTCTTTATAAATAGATAAATCTTTGTAGGGTTTTCCAAATTCTGTAAACTATTGCAAAACTTCATCTATGTGGAGAGAGAGCATTGCATATCAGCATACAGAGATCTTCTCTAAATGGGGGTGAAAACCCCCACAGCTCTGGCTGCTCCAGCTGTTGGAAGGACTGTGATGACCCAGGGCGTGACACAAAAGCAACAAAGTCACAAAAGTAGAGAAAGTCCCTTTAATTCCCCCAATGTCCAGTTATCATTGGCTGGAGGAAAAAACTCTCCCAAGAACAGTTTTTAAAAGGAAGAAATTCAGTCTGAACCCAAAGTAAATATAAATTATAAATAAAACCCAACACAAACCACACTGCAGCAATTAACGAGAGAGGGCAGGATAAGGAATTGCAGAACTCAAAATACAACGAAACACAGTTGGGAGGACTCCAGATAAGAGTTGACAAACAAAGATAATGCACACTTTGCTTCCAGCAAGGTTCTGTGCGCAAACAAATGATGTTTCCCCAGCTGCAGCTAATGGAGGGAATCAGGGCTTTTTTCTCCCCCGTAACCCACGTTGCTCCCTTATTCATTCCTCCCTAAAAGCCCTAGGATGAAGAGGAGGTGGGCCTGGGTCTTCCTCTGACTGCCCAGCCGGACTGTGCCCTTCCCCAGTTTCTTCCACAGCCACCAGAGCCACAATCCCACTCCCTGTCAGCTGTTCCACCTCTCCCTCGGAATCAGATTCCAACAGGGGCATGACAAGGACAGACACCTGGGTGATAGATGGAGGAAGTAATTCCAGGAAAATATAGTCGCTTTACTTATCAGTCTCCTTTGTTTTTTCTTCACTGCAGATATACCGTCTTCCTGGTTGTGGAGGGGAGCTCGTGCCAAGGGCAGTGCCCCACTTCTGCCAAATCTGCCCTGAACCTTTTGGGCTCTTTGATGGCCAAAGAGATTTTGTCATCCTTGATCCCACACCGAGTGGTAGCAGCCTGGCTTGAAGTTATAGAAAACGGTATGTGTGAAAATAATATAAGTTTCTGAGTGTGTGAGAGAGACAGAGACAGAGGGGGG